GCAACTGGGTTGTTTCCAGCTTCTGGCTATTACAAATAGAGCTGCTACAAACATGGTTGAGCAAATGTCCTTTTTGTGTACTTGAGCCTCTTTTGGGTATATGCCTAGGAGTGGTATGGCTGGATCTTGAGGAAGCGCTATTCCTAGTTGTCTGAGAAAGCGCCAGATTGATTTCCAGAGTGGTTGTACCAGTTTACATTCCCACCAGCAATGGAGGAGGGTTCCCTTTTCTCCACAACCTCTCCAGCATGTGTTGTCACTTGAGTTTTTCATCTTGGCCATTCTGATGGGTGTAAGGTAAAATCTCAGGGTTGTTTTGATTTGCGACGGCTAATGAGGTTGAGCATTTCTTTAAGTGCTTCTCTGCCATTCAATAAAACTCTTACCGGGAAACTCCTACAGCTGATAAACACCTTCAGCAAAGTGGCCGGATACAAAATTAACTCAAAAAAAAATCAGTAGCACTCCTGTATACAAAAGACAAAAGGGCTGAGAAAGAAATTAGAGAAACAGCACCATTCACAATAGCCACAAATGACATAAAGTACCTTGGTGTAACCCTAACCAAGCAAGTCAAAGACTTGTATGAAAAAAATTTCAAGTCTCTGAAGAAAGAATTAGAGGAAGATATAAGAAGATGGAAAGATCTCCCATGCTCATGGCTTGGCAGGATTAACAGTAAAAATGGCCATCTTACCAAAAGCAATCTACAGATTTAATGCAATTCCCATCAAATTGCCAACACAATTCTTTACAGACCTGGAAAGAAAAATTCTCAACTTCGTATGGAATAACAAGAAACCGAGAATTGCTAAAACAATCCTCTACAATAAAAGATCTTCTGGAGGTACTCCATCCCTGATCTCAAGCTGTACTATAGAGCAACAGTTATAAAAACTGCATGGTACTGGCATAGAAACAGAATGGTGGATCAATGGAATCGAACAGAAGACCCAGAAATAAACCCACACACTTACGGACACCTGATTTTTGACAAAGATGCCAAGACCATACAATGGAAAAAAGATAGCATCTTCAACAAATGGTGCTGGTCCAACTGGATGTCTACATGTAGAAAAAATGAAAATAGATCCATACTTATCACCCTGCACAAAACTAAAGTCCAAGTGGATCAAAGACCTCAACATAAAACCAGACACATTAAACCGGCTAGAAAAAAAAGTGGGGAATATGGTAGAACTCATTGGTACAGGAGAAAACTTCCTGAACAGAACACCAACAGCACAGGCTCTAAGAGCAACAATCAATAAATGGGACCTCATGAAATTGAAAAGCTTCTGTAAAGCAAAGGACACCGTCATCAAAACAAAGCGACTGCCTACAGATTGGGAAAGAATCATCACCAACCCTTTATCTGACAGAGGACTCATATCCAATATATATAAAGAACTAAACAAGCTGAAAAGCAATAAACCAAGTAATCCACTTAAAAAATGGGGAACAGAGCTAAAGAGAGAATTCTCTGTAGAGGAATATCGAATGTAGATAATTTTAACAGAATCATAAAACTAAACTTCAACATTAGTCCCAAATATCAAAATTTCTTCTTTCTGGGCCATGACTGGAAGAACTCACACCTCTTTTACATCATTCTGGGAGAATCTGTGGATGCTGCCTGTTTGTATAGTCAGAGTACGAAGGGCATGTATGTGTCAGTGATATTGGAGAGGATATTTGCGAGTCTCTTTTTGTTTTGTTTTAAATTAGCTTACCTTGAGAAGTGAAAGGAATAATTGCAGAAGTGTAATTTCCCCAAGCCCTATGAAAAGTGTTTGTGTTCTGGCTGTGACTCCTCCTTTTGATGCAGACACCCCAGAGTCTGTGGTTTCTCAGTGTGCTGGCATGTCTTCATCCTCTGTGCGTCACGCTTACTGCTTACTTGCCTGTTGAGGTGTTAGGCAGCTCTCTGATGTCCTGTTGTGAGTAACCCAAGTGAGACTTTGAGTTTCACACCCGATAGTAATATCTTTTTTTTTTTTTTCTTTTCTTTTCTTGTTTTTGTATTTGAAATTAGGCTTTTGGGTAAATTAATGGCAAAAGTAACATTCTTGCAAGTAAGGCAAATAACTAGTCCTTAGGTAAAAGGGACGTGCAAAAGGTTAAGAGCACGGTGAGCTTGTCCTTAGTGAGTATCTGTGAATTCCCCCACAAGCTGTCCGGTGCCTTCCTGTTGGTTCCTTCTTATGTTTACATGACTCATCCTAAGACAAAGTAGCATGGACCTCTGCTGCATGCTGTTTTGATCTCAGCACAAGTCACGGTGAGAATCCTTAGTGTCCCTAATGTGTACAGTAGATTTCTCTGACACCTACACCTATGAAATATTGTGCCAACACATTACGTTAATTTTTATCTGCCAAGAAGTCAAAATTTAAGGTAGTTTATATTAAAGATAGATGGACTGGCACCAGGTATTGAGTAATCTCTTCAAAATGACTAGAAGTAGTGACGCTGGAATTTAGATGCAGTGCTCTGACTCCAGCGTCCTGTGTAAGCCGACTCCAGTGAAAGAGGACTTTCTTTGTCATGCTGAATATTTGGTAGGTATATAATTTAGTAAGCTAGCTAAGAGTAATACAGTGACTTTCCCAAAGTTCTCATTATATCTTGTTTTGTGAAGTAAGGTATATATTTTTTTTCTCACAGTTTTCTTAGCATCCATCATTTGTGGTAGGAGAAACAAGTGCCCATTCTTGAGTGTGCCTTGAATTTCTTTTTGAAAGTAGATGTGATAGTGCATACCCATAATATTTATGCTTGGAGGGCTGAAGCTGGAGAATCACTATTTAAGGTTTACCTGGAGCTGTATAGTAAGAACTAGATCAGCCTGGGATTCAGAGTGAGATCCTTTCTCAAATGTGATTCTATACATGTACACTCCCACATGTACACACACATACTACAAAATAAAAAGCTGGGGTACCCTTCACAATAACAGCTCTGCTCACGAAGTCTGGCTTGACTGTAGGCAGTTACTTGAATTGCCCCAGACTTCTGAAAATCTGAAATCTAAGGGTTGTTTTGTCAGAACCTGAAATGATTCCCTGCTGGTATGTGATCTGTGAGGGAATTTCCTATCACAATTTAAAATATTTCCCTATATAATTATAAGGTTGAAAATACTAACAGGTGAAGTTTGCCTTTTTATACTACATTTATGGATCATGAAAAAGAAATCAGTGTTTCAAAGCCACTCAGTGACGAAGGAGATGAAACAGCTTCATTAACCCAGATGTTAAATCCATCCACCACACAGATGTCCTGCTACTTACTTGGCCAGACTACTGGTGAGAATACAGCTTACTAACAAAAGCCAGGTGTGTGGGATTACAAGGTCTTACCTCCAAGCCATTGGCTGGGTTGTTCTGCATGAATGAAGGCCGCCTCAGCTGATGCATACCAAACCTACCCATTAGTTCAGAATCTAGGGGTGTGCTTGCTTGCCAGTCACACAGTATAATTGCAAATACTTTTTCATTTAGACATTTCTGAAAATGATACAGGTGAAAATAAAGTTTCCGAAGTGTTACTAAAGTCATATAAGAAAATATTTTCTCTTCCTTAAACTCCCATTCTTTTTATAATACTGGAAAACCTCCTCTACAATAAATACTGAGAAATTGAGTCAATGTAGCCATGGTTTTTAGACTCTATCCCAAATTTTGTGTCTGATTTATAACTTAAAACACGAATTCAAGCAGACAAATTTTGATCAAAAAATATTATAAAATATGCCTTTCCTATTATTGCCATGTTTTTTTGTCCTTGTTTTTTCGTATTTTTATCTTCTAATTCTAGGAGCTCATTAACCACGAATTTCTAAGTGGTAATCATGCATTCGAAAAATTTCCCCTTCATCAGCATCACACCACTGACACTCTAGCACAGAGAGTGGAAGTAAATATAGCAACAAAAGTATTGAGTGAAAATACAACAGGAAAAATGCAGTATTGCAGGGAGAAGGGACTTGCCATCGAATGGTGTTTGTTATGAAAATAAATTAAATAGAGGAATATAGTTCTGTATTAAAAAAGGAACAATGAACAACCATAGAATGAAAACTGAGCCAGATAGCTCCTGTGTAACTCATGGGCATCTATGAAAGGTTTTAAAGGAATAACAAGAGAATCAGTAGATGAGAAAGAAATCTAAAGAGAAATATATGGACTTTGATGAAAAAGCTAATAGGACACTGGATTTGAGCCACTTGAGAGAGACATGTCCATGCTAAATTTTGTGTATATAAACAGATTTATACGGGCTGGAGAGAGATGGCTCAGGGGTTAAGAATACTGTCTGCTTTTCCAAAGGACCCGGGTTCAATTCCCAGCACCCACATGGCAGCTCATTACTGTCTGTAACTTCAGAGATCTGACATCTTTACACTAATGCACATAAAATAAAACTAAATAAATTTAAAAAAAATAAACAGATTTATATTTACAAGGAACACTTTGCCTTCTCCATACAGATTAGACTAGGGATAATATGTTTGTAATACAATTATTTAGAATTTATGGATGTATTTAACAAGGTTGAAAGCTGACCAAGATCTAGGTCGGGTATTTTTGGCCGAAATGGTTTAAATCATGTGATTAGATCATGGATAATTTGAGGGTCTGATTACTCCACTGATTGGACATTAAGTGTTTGAACTGTATGTCCGATGAATTCGAGGTTTCTTTTTTCTGAGCTGGTAGGATCCAGTTCTATGCGGAGATGAAGAATGGACAGGGCTGGACCTTGGCCAGGAAACAGTGCTTAATAGTAGGTATACTAGGTTTACAGTGCTCATCCATCCAAGTGGCACATTTGCCCATGGATGACCTTGGAATTATACAGCTTTAGTGCTTCTATATATGACTCTTATAGGGGTGATGTGGCTAAGAGTATAAAGGAAAAAATACTGTAACAGCTAAAGGTAGGATTGACATCATGAGGTCTTTAACATTGTTATATTATGCATGTTTGGCTTTCAGAAGGAACAAAGAAAAATACTGAACACTTTATCCACTGAGAGTGAGGAGTGGCTTGATATGCTTGTGGCTTAAGAAGTAAGATGATGTGATGATATCTTCAAGAGGTATGGAGTATGGATTGAAGGAAACTTAGTTAAGACGGACTGCTGGTTGAGAAACCTGTCCACAGATCTTCAGAAAGATGTAATGAAGTGCAGCAAGTGTACACAGTGGCTGAAGAATACGTGGCAAGATGCAGTGCCCTGGAGTGAGATGGGCTTCCTGGGAAACCTTATGTTGTTGGGGACCATTTATGGGAATAGGAATCAATTTTTCGTTAAATCCCCCCCCCTTTTTTTTGTCATGTGACAATCTGCTTTATTAAAAAAAAAAATCATACAAACAGTGTTTGAGTTAAGAGGAAGATGAATATTTGAAAGAACAACTTGGAAAAATGTTAAATTGCCAAGAATTGTGAGGGATAGGTGGTGGAAAAGATGGAATTGAGCCAAGAGAAACACTATGATCACAAAATAAGTGACAGGAATTGTGTAGATAGTTGCTAAAGTGTGCCAGGATTTTTTTTTTATTTAGAAAAATGCAAGTCTTTGTTACATTTCTGTTTGATATTGTTCTGAGCCCTAAAACTTCTCCCTAAATAGTCTATTTGAAAAATAAAATTTATTTCCATTTATCTGATGGTATGTGCACTACATTTCTAATTTGAGAAATCCTGAGTAAATTTTAGGATATGTTAGTTACATTTGGTAAAACTTTGTGATTCATGTCTCTGAATTATGACACTGTCATGAGCAGCTTATGAAAAGAGCCTGGTTTCCCATCTACCTACTGTTTTGCTGATGTGAATCCGTTAGGAATAGTTTTTTTATAAGTTTAAATACAACCAGCTATGTTTGTTCAAGATCTGAGGTATTCATTTTTCTTTTTCTATATTAATGCTTGGGTTTGAATGTTTTTATTTGTTTTTTATGTATAATTCTGGGCAGTGCATACATTCTATGTTGTCCTGAAGGAGGCCATTCAATGGGAAGGGTAAGCAAAAATTTTGGGAGTTCTCGGGGAGTCTTGAGGTAATGAGTGATATCATTGTCTTCATAAGGATGGCTTCTGGCAGTCTTCATTGGTCAGTCTTTGGTTTATAGCCAAACTTCTGATTTGCCTCTGTTTCCTATGTCTCCATCATCTGCTCTCAGGGTGATAATATCTTTGTCTGATTTATTTGTTTGTTTATTTATTTTTGACTAAAGATACCACTGATACTTAATAGGAACTGACCCTAATGATATCATTTTAATTTAACTACTGCTATAAAGCCAATTTTCCAAATAAAATTCCAAAGAGTCACTGAAGAGTAGATTTTATCCCATTCTTTTTTTTTTTTTTTAGAACATAACTGGTAAACAGACAAAGTATGCTACATAAGAGCTAGTATAGATAATCATTAAAAAAGAAACTTATGTAACAGTATTCTGAGACTTACTTGTTTAGTTACTGTTCTATTGCTGTTAAATAGGCATTATGACCAAGACAATTTATAAAAGAAAACATTTGATGGTGGCTTGCTAACAGTTTCAGAGTGTTAGTCTGTTATGATCATGGCAGAAAACAGGCAGGTATCATGCTGGAGCAGCTGAAAGTTTTAGATACTCCTCCACAGGCAGTAGGCAGAGAGTGAGACTGAGCCTAGCATGTGCTTTTGAAACCTCAAAGCCCACCCCCTTTAACACACCTCCTCTGACAAGGTCATACCTCCTAGTAATTCTCTAACACCTCCACTGGTGAGCGAAGATTCAAACATGAGCCTGTGAGGGCCATTCTCATTCAAACTACACATAACAGCCGACATTGCCCAGAACACAGTGCATTTGCTGTCCTGGTTGTGTGGTGACACATCAGTGTCAGTGTAACCTGCAGTATGTTTGCATGGTCAGAATGTCATCATACAATTTTAGGTAAATTTATATTAATGTCAAAGTCATCCTGTAGCAAATTCATACAACTATATTGACCCAAACCACATATATATGTTTCAATAACTGTGTGAATTTATATACAAGCTTCCATGCAGGTGATGCGCACTGGTCAACGTAGCCTAGAATCCATCATATGTTGACACGAGCTCGTGAAGTAGGTGAATTTTAGTATGATCTTGCTTAGTGCCATAGGAAAATCCCCTAGCTTTTAAGTTTTAATTTGAAACATAACTGGGGGGAAAAGGACATATGAAAATATACAATAGACACTTGCTTTCATCACTTTGAATACCTTTGGGTTTAAATTATGTTATTGTTTCATTCTCTCCCTGTAATCCTAGATTGATAACCTAATTAGTGCACCAGAAATATGGTCATGAAAACATGCCCTCCAGGAAGAACAAATGAATTCTCCTCTGCATTTAATTTCAAATTCTTCCTTGTCAGTACAGCTTGGCTTTCAAAGAACACCTGACACTATATGATCAATGATCCCGATCAGGCATCCTGTCAGAGAGAAGCATAAAATTGATGAAAGGATGTCCCGTTTCTTTCAGAATCTAAGCAGATGTAGAGAAAATGCTGAAATAATTCAGATATTTCACTCCAGTCCTCATCAAAGAATCACATATATGGAAGGTTATCATTTCTCAGAGTGACTAGGAATTTTGGGTTTTGAGTTCAGTCAGCTGTAAGAGTACATAATATTTAATATGTGAAGGTGAATGTTTTAGCATTCACTGACAGAATATTCCAAGTCTTTTGTGTAAGTTAAACTTGAAATAAGGCTTATCTTCTGGGTGATACCAATAGACAGCCTAATGCAGGGAGGGGTCTGCTCAAGAGGCCTCAACCCTACACAAATTATCCTCCCCAAGTAAGAGCACACAGATTGGTTATCCTAAACTAGTTGTTGTTGGATATGGACACAGTTGTGCTATTTATGTAAACACACACATACAAAACAACAATTAATATAAAAAGCCAAGAATTTATAAGAGAGCAAGAACAGTAGAATAGATGTGAATACTTGGAGGGAGGAAAAAAAAAAAGGAGTAATTATATAACTGTAATATCAAAAATTAAATGGAACTTATTTAAAAAAATTTAGGTCAGTTTGTTGTATGCCCTAATGCAGGATTTAGAATTATGAGATCATTTTAATGCATTCAGATGACTCTAGGCATGCTGTGCATCCTGTGAATAATCTACATGCTCCTGAATGTGCAGATGCATGTCTTAATTGAGATAAATGGCCATGCCGGGTATTCTGGAAGGTCTGCAAATGAGTATGGGTAAAATGGAGTAAGAGGTAAGGCCAAGTACAGTAACAGCCCAAGCAAAACTAGATACGTTTGCAGGGTCACTTAGGGCTCAGGGAAACCAGGAACTTTTGGAGCCTGAACTTGATTTTGGGGTAGTCCAACATTCATTCATGTAATTTTGCACGTATGTGTAATTATAATTTTACACTCAATATCTCATAGACATGTAGTAAAGGTTTGTGTGGTAGATCTTTAAACAGCCCATTGAGTTTATGAGTGTTTCTTGTGTTGACATGAGGTAAAACAAGACTCATTCTTGAATAATTTGCAAAAGCTGACATTTCATTTTAATACTGTGTGATAGGATTGACAGTCCTGTCACACAATTAGTCAGATTATGTTCTTAGTAAGTGGTTTAATAGCATAGTGATAGAAGATTGTACAGTATATGGGAACCAGAATCCAGCTAGCCACAAACCTAATGTGGCAATAAATTGAAGAGAAGATGACAACTCATTCTGATGTCTTAGGGATCAATCATGCCTTATAAGGGAGTTAGAGAGTTATCCCCACAAACTGAGTTAACAGTAGTGAAAGCATCAGTGCTCATAGGGTTTTGAATGTACCTTAGAAGCCACTGTGCTGCATGGCCTGTTACCCAGGCTGTTGCAATCCTGACAAGCTCCTTTCCTAAATCACACACAGAGTAACTGTCTCAGCGTGTACTTCCACAGGTTTACCTGACTTCCAAGACCATTGAGTGTCTAGCATGCATTATAAGTATACAGTAGTCACAAAAATAGCAGTGAAGTACAAGGACACCTGTAGTTTCACAAGCAAAGTTCTGACTAAAAGTATCAGGAAGCTCAGTCAGTTGGGGTAGTGGTTGCCAAGCACTCCTCAGGATTTAGCTGAAAGGCATCCACTGCTTTGAGGATAAACAATTCCAACAGAAAAATGAATCTTAAATAAAATACATACGATAAGTAAATGTATTCTGATTTAGTTGACAGTCATTTTTAAATGTAGTGTTCTTGAGGCAGTATCTTTGTAAATCCCAGGCAGAGACTCTAACATGTGACTAGGGCTAACCTTGAAGCCTTGAGTCTCCTACATTCCAGCCTCTCAGGTACTGGGATTTAAGTGTGAACCACTGTGCCCAGCTTCCCATGTAGAATGTTTGATTCAAGAATTTACTAAAATACATGAATGCGTTACCATTTTATTCCTCTTGGTGTTTTTCATGGGTACACTGACTCCTGGTTGGAATCATTCATTAGATTTTAGTTTAGGAAAAAGAACAGTAGGCGCTAGGTTTAGCCAGTAACATTGGGCAAGACTCTCTGACATTATTTTCTTCTATCAGGCATATGTAATAGCAATTGATACTAGTGCAAATTAAGTTCTGATTTCATAATCTGACTAATTTCTTTCTAATTTTCCTATTTCTAGATGTCAGGTGACTTGTATTCTCTGGATCACAGTTTATATCAAATATCTGGTCTATATTAAATTGAAATTTCTGGTATCTCCAAAATTTACCAAGAAACCTGCTTATGAATGAGGGAGGGATTCAATATATAACACAGGAACTTTGAACATATTGTGTAATTAATCCCTATTTGAAAAGACTCCTGAGAGTACAATGTTCAGCATCACTAGTTCCCATTAGGGCCCTGTGTTCACTAAAGATCTGATTGCAGCATTGTGTGTGGGGGGAGGGGCACTGCGTAAGCAGGGAAATGTACCGAACCAGACCTGTGATTTTGTTGTTCAGGAGGTCAAGGCAAGAAGATTTCTGAGTTCCAAGCCATCTTGGGGTACAGAACAAGATCCCATCTCAAACAAAACAAGGCAAAAGGCAACAAAATAAACGATTACATTTGCAATCATGTGGCATGAAACGTGTGGTTCTCATGCCATTCTTCTCTAGTTGGGGAGTTCTGGGCCAGCCATGACTATAGCAAGATTGGTCTGAAAAACAGTCCACAAAAACAGGAAACAAAACCAAACTAATTCTTTCTTTAAGATGCTTCATCACAGAGATGAGAAAAGTAGCACACGCTCCATTTTTACCTATAAAAACTGACTATGGAACTAAACAGTTTCAGTAGTCACTTAATCCTGAATTCAGAGCTTGAAACCTTGTGTTTCTGTGAACTCACACTATTGACTATTGTGTTAAAGTTTTGGGAAGTCTATGAGTAAATACTTGATAATTGCTTATTGATTGAACCAAAAACAATGTTTTATAGGCAATAAAACAACACACATGTCTATCAGATTGTCCAATGTCCTTGTAGCGTGTTTTAGTCTTTGGAGTGTATTTAGAATACTGTCCTCTCTGTCTCACCTTTTCAACAAATGGATAACGTCTACTGAAAAGGATCAGTCTGCCATGTGTTTAGTTATGTGGGTTCTGCCGTTAAAGGGGT